GTTGACAGAGACGGATAGGCCAGTGGACTCTTTGTTTCCACAGTTGTGTTTCTACTGCCCTTTTTCAGAATTCTAGTTAGAGTCATGGACTCATGTTAATATAGCAGTGATCCCTCTCTTGAAAGCACAAGGCTCAATATTTGTTGTACTGAATGGTAGGAACTTTTCAGCTTTAGTACCCTTCTAAAAGAGTTATAAATTAAGTTTTAACTATTTCTGGGGCCCCTGAGTGGCTCAGTCGGTTAAGTGTCCAACTGCTGCTCAGGTCATGATCTTCCAGTTTGTGAGTTCGAGCCCCGCATCTGGCGCTGTGCTGACAGCTCACAGCCTGGATCCTGCTTCAGATTCTGTGCCTCCCTTTCTCACTCCCCCTCCCTTCCTCACACTCTGTGCCTCTTTCAAAAATAGATAAAAACATTACACAAAAAAATTTTTAACTATTTCTTCCCCTGGTGCTATAGCTAAAATTGGTCGATTTTTGTTTTCTTTCACTCAGGCCTTATAGAGGGAAGTGATTTGTCCAAAGCTGTATAAATAAATCATTGACAGAGCTGGCATTAGAGCCTATATCTTCTCCAACAGCTAGGTCTGACTTTGTTGACTACCTCTTGGAAACCAGTGTTCCAATTTCATCCCCAGAGTCACAGACAGCCTTGAAGCCAGCAGCCCGGTCAGATTTTATGTCTAGGTTAAGCCAGCCTTGGTTGCCCTGCTGAGGGAGAACATCAGCAGTGGGAGAGCTGGGGTATGTGGGCTGGATGAGGCAGCTGGCCAGCACTCTCCTTGTGCATTTCATAGCCCAGCCTAGCGGAGGAGCCTCAACATTGCCAAGGTAGGGGATTTCCAAAGCCCTGGCTTCTATTTGCCTTTCCAGATTTAATTTGACCTTAATGCTAACTAATATGCCCCATTCCCCTAAGATTTCTCCCTCTCAAAAATATCTTGGAGCTAGATAGCTCCAGCTTTTGCTGGTGGATGCTGGAAACTCTGATCTCTGCTCTTTCCTTGCTGCTCGTTTGCAACTAACTCTTCAGTTCCAGGACCACTACAATTACAAAAAGCTCTGTGGACCACCTGCTTCCTCATACTAGTGCCTGTGATCCTAAGTCTAGTGTAAAACCGTCATTGTGGCTATATTAATAAATGTCCTTATAATTTTTATTGTTAATTAAAACCTAGACTAGAAAGTAGGCTCAGAAAGCATTCATGTGTTTGCATTCTGACTCAGCCTGTAGCAACTTACTCTGAGAACTGCTTTGTCTCATCTGCCAGCTTTGGGTTTAGCCCCACGGTTGAACTCTGAAGAATAAAGAGCCCCTGAGTTTCTACTTCCTCTCTCCCAATTGTGATTCACTCACTGCTAGCTGTTGCAGGAAGCCCTAGGTGGTAAAGAGATCAAATCAGAATTCCTAGCCAGGAAAACCCTGTCTCTTAGCTACAATGACCCCTGTCTGCCATTGCATTCAGCTCTATGGCAGTTAACACCAGAAAAGCTTCATCTGGCTTCACACCCTCCTTCTGTTTCTTTCAGTCAAGCCTTATGTAATCTATCACTGATGGCAGACTTCCTTCTTGCCCTCCTTTATTCCCTCCAAGGCTTTAAGCTCCAAAGCTTCCTAGATGCCTCCCACCAACGGGGTGCTTTCTGAAGCCCAGCCTTTTCTGTCTTTATCATCCCTCAAATCCTCAAATCAACCCCCTAATGGATGTATTTCCCTCCGTATCAGATGACACTCTTAGAGAGCCAGCTGGGTGGTGCTAAAAATCCCATTCCTCACCCATCTCCCCGCTGGAGCTCCTGGAATCGGGTTCTGCAGCCTCCTGTCATCCTAGCCTCCTTTTCTGTTCATTTGGAAGCTTTTCTCCATTGCTTTTGATAAATTCCTGGTTTGGCAGCAATATCCAGTATTTAGGAAAGTCCTGCAGGATGAGTTCCCTGTCTCCGGCATCTTAGTTGATCCTCAGAAGGATCTGCTCCTGCCCCTCCCTGCCTTGATGCCATTCCCTGTCTGCCTGGCCTAGGCTGGACGGAATCAGTATGTGGAAGTCCTCTGCTCAGATACTCCATCCCTCTTTATCCATCGTGACAGACAAAGCATGGCTCTGCCCCTCACTTCCTCCTCCAATATTTATTTCTTCTCCTTTACCTTCTCCCACTTCTCCCTTCCCTCCTCATGTACACTCTTCATTCCTCTTCCTTTAAATCTCCTTCTTGTTCACTTACTCCCCGTCATCCATCTGTGCCTACTACCTCTACCCTTCCCCCTCCCCCTCGCCACCATCTTTCATTTTCATCTATCTTCCTCATTGCCTGTACATGCTGAGGAAACAGCCTGGTATGGGAAGAAGGGCTGCAGAGTGGGTCCCTGGTTGTCAGAGTAAGCTGTCCCTTGTTCTCCAGAGAATTAGTGGCTATCTTTTCCCATCTTGTCCTCAGTGGTCCTTAGGGGCCAGGGAACCCCAAGATGCTGGCTCTGAACAATCTCTCCTCTTTGCTTCATCCTTTGTTGAAGAGGAGAGGAGTCATTGGATCCGATGCCCTCTTCTTTTGCTCTTCCCGAGTACGGGTCTGACCGTGTTTCTCCCCTCTTTTCTTGTTTTCTCCCTCTTTCTGTCTCTCCCCATCACAAAGCAGCGGCAGGACTGAATGAGTCTGTCTAGAGGCTCTGCCAGTCTGTGCCCCTCACTCTGCCCCTCCCCCATCTCTGTGCGTGCTATGAGGGGGGGAGGGGGGGCTGGAGGGCGGTGGCATGGTGCCAGCCAACCCAGAACCATCTCCGGTGCCTTCTGCACTGAGGCGGGCTCTGTTTCTCCCGCCCTCCTCCTCTCCCACTCTTCCTCTCCCATTTTTAATTAGCTACTGAATTAATTAAATCCCACATGCTAATTAACATTCCTACAGGGAAGAATGCCAGGTCAGAAAAGCAGGGGGTGGTAAAGCAAGACTTGTACCCATCTAGGATAAGAGATTTGTGGGTGGGAGGTAGGGGGAAAGGGGATAAAGGGTAGATGAGGAAAGAATCTATGAGTGCAAAGAAACCCGAGATAGGAAGAGACAGAGAAAGGAAATCATGGAGAGTGGAACCTATTGAAAAGGAAAATAATTAGAGTAATTAACATGGGGGAAATGAAAGTGTCTTGAAGTCTCTGAAAGTTAGAAGGTAGAACTGAGGGTCTCAAACATTAGCATGCATAAATAACCTGAGAAATAATGATACAAAGGATGCTGATTTGCTGCCTTGAATGTCTTCCAGAGAAATAAATCTCAATTTTAATAGGAATATTTTAGATTACAAACGAAGGAGAACTTCCAGGGGCACCTGGGTGGCTCAGTCAGTTAAGTGTCCGACGTCAGCTCAGGTCATGATCTCACAGTTTGTGAGTTCGAGCCCCACGTCAGGCTCTGCTGACAGCTCAGAGCCTGGAGCCTGCTTCAGATTCTATGTCTCCCTCTCTCTCTGACCCTCCCCCACTCACACTCTGTCTCTGTCTCTCAAGAATAAATAAACATTTAAAAAAAATTTTTTTTTAAAGAAACAAAAGAGAACTTCCTCCTTGCAACGCAGTGGCATACTCTGCAGAAGAAACTCTTTGGGAGATAAATGATCTGTCTAGAATGGTTAAAGTTTGCCCAAAACCAGAGGAGATGATGAACTTCGAAGGTTTTTTCTAGATACATAGATGTTAATCCCTAAGTGTGTATCTGTTCTGGAGAAACAAGAAAATCCAGGATGGGAAAATTCGGGATTCATTCTCAGTTCCCTTTCCTTATTGCATTCCAGGTGAACTTTGAGTTTGCTCTCTGTGGTCTGGTTAGCTTTTTAGGGGTGAGCCTTCTCTTCAAATCAGAAATGCTTCGCTGGGAGGCTTAGAGCAGTAATTCTTAGCGAGTACTTCAGAAAGATGAGTGCCTTATGGCTAGCATGGCTTCTGTCCTTGACCAAGGGGTAGAGAGGAGAATGGCTAGAGTTACATAGAGGGCAGAAAAGGAAGGTTGGTGTGGATTGACAAGGGTGTGTCTGGCACCAGGGATTTCATTAAGGTCACTACTGTGGCCCAACCTGAAAAAAAATAGGGACAGCTTGCTTGTCATTGCTTTTGTCCTCTGGAGAGTAAAGAAAACTATATTCAGTACAGATCTAAACTCACCCCCTCTTTAGCCCCCTACCAAGAACTGAAGTCTGGGAGGAGTCCAGCAGGTTAGAAGAATATTTCCCAACCATTTTGAGTCTGAAATATGTCAGGAGCAAGTGCTGTGTTGTCTACACCCCTAACCGTGGTTCAGTTAGATGGCATTCCTCACCAGTATACTGCAGTAATTGATTCATTCAAAAATATTTGCATACGAGCTGTGCAGGGCATAGAGTATCATTAATTTAAAAGACATTTATTAAGCACCTACTGTCTGCCAGACACACTAGGCATTAGGTTTAGTTAAAACTATTACATCTAAGGAATTTATATTTTGGTTTAGGGAAAAAAGATGTATTACAGTAAAGTGCAGTAACTCACTCTGTGTATATGTGTAAATATGTGTGTGCTCCTATAGCACCTGGTACCTGTGCTGCTTTTGTGTCCTCTTATGTGGTTACTTATTCCTTCTTATATCTGTGTCTTATCTGTCCACAGAGATGATAGCTCCTTGAGAAACCAGGTCTGTAGGTGGAGTACACGTAGCACTACCCTGAAGCCTTATGTGTTAACATACAGCCATGTATGGAGGTTTAAGAGTTGCTTTAGAGTGTGTGACATTCCTAATTGTGGCAAATATTTTCCTCTGAAGGGACCTCTTATTTTTTAAAGTTACAAAAATTGTGACGGTGAGTAAGATAATTATGTGACAAGTAAGGTAAGTGACTTGACAGGGTAAAAGTGCTTATGCTCCTCGATGGGATTTGAAGCCAGTTCCTAAAGAGGGGCCGGCCTGAGGAGAGGCAGTGGAGTGTGGAGAACAGGGCACAGGCTTGGTTTTTTTGAGGGGGCACAGGGGTGCGGGGGAGGAGGGCAATAGGCTTGTTTTTCTGTGTACTGTGTTTCCTTTTACTTTTTTGTAGACGTCTCCCATCATCTTCCCACTCCCCAAATTATGATTAGGCCATTTGTACACATTTACATCCTATTTTGTCCTCTTAATGTTGTGTCATATTCTCCTACGCTATTAAAAAAAACAGGTGAGGGGCGCCTGGGTGGCGCAGTCGGTTAAGCGTCTGACTTCAGCCAGGTCAGGATCTCGCGGTCCTTGAGTTCGAGCCCCGCGTCGGGCTCTGGGCTGATGGCTCAGAGCCTGGAGCCTGTTTCTGATTCTGTGTCTCCCTCTCTCTCTGCCCCTCCCCCATTCATGCTCTGTCTCTCTCTGTCCCAAAAAAATAAATAAACGTTAAAAAAAACAAACAAAAAAAAAAACAGGTGAAAATATACTTCACGAACATGTAATATTCTATCATGGATATGCCATAATTTGTAAAACCATTTCTTATTGTTGTACATTTAGGGTGTTTCCAGGTTTGTTATTGTTTTTTCCTTCTATGGTGGACATCCACATCTTTATATGTAAATCTTACAACTTTCTGAAATGGAATTTCTGGGGCAAAGAATAAAGACCTCCATTCTGGTTTGTGGGTTGACTGCATTTGATTCACCTAGGGAAGCTTATTATTATTTAATTTTTAAAAGTGATTTATTTTTGATTAGGTAAAAAATTCAGACCCTACATAAGGGAACATAGTGCAATTTTCTCCCACCTTTCTCCCTCATTTCCCTCCCCAGAGGTATTCTGTGCATGTATATGTATATGTATAGATATGGAAGGTTTGTAAAAAATAGAACTCATTCAGTCCCACCTCCCAGAAATTCTAATCTCATCTGAGGAGGAGCCTTGGAATGTGTGTCCTCATTTATTTCCCCTACCCCGCCCCCTACTCGCTAATAGCTTTCTAGCTAATTCTGCTGTGCAGCCTTATATGGGAACCACCAAGTCAGATGAACTCTTGGGATCCTTTCCAGCTCTAAAATTTAATGACTGAAACTCAGAGAATTAGTAATTTAAAAAATAATAATGATTAATGTTGAGGCTAAATCATAATCAAGTGTCATAAAGATTCTCTTTGAAATGATCTCAGGGATCCAATTTTTGTTACTGAATTTATTATTATTAATACAAATAATGGCTACCATTTATGGAGTGCTTGTCTGTGCCAGGCTTTTAGAAAGTACTTTAAACATTCTCACTTAAACCTTATAGCACCCCATGAGCTAGCTATTTCTTAAACCAAGGCTTTGGAAAGATTAAGTAGTGAGCCCATGATCAAGAGACCATTAAGTGGCAGAATGAAGATTTGAACTGAGGCCTTTACCTCTGGTGTTCGTTCACTTCCACCCTACCCCCACCCCATCATGAGATTATACTCTGCCTGGTATTTGGTAACTTGCTTTTTTCACTAAAACATATCTTGGATATCTTTTGTTTCAAATATAAAGGTGGTATTTGTATTTTGTTTTTAGGTGCTTTTTCTTTTTTTTTTCTTTCTTTTTTTTTTCATTCACTACACATAAATACATTTCTAAAACGAAAAATTCAGGAAGTACAGATGAGGGAAACTCCTTTGATCCTCACTCTCCCAATTCTTGTAACCTCTGTTGCCAGATTCATGTGTATCTGGGTCTTTTTCCATGCATTTATGTATGTACAAAAAATGTATGTTGTTTTGAGTTTTGTAGTTATTTTTTCATAAATGGGAGTACACTATACATAAGGTTTTGTAAGGTGCTTTTTTATTCAGTATATCTTGAAAATCTTTCCAGGTCTTTGATCATCTTCCTCACTTATTTAATTGCTATATAATGTCTATAGTTTATGTAGCCATTTTGCTAATGATGGGAATTATCATAAACACTGCTATTGTGAAGAATATGAAGTTATTTTTCTCATAGCTGCCTAGAAGTAGAAATGCTGGCTAGAAGTTTTAAATGTTAATGGAGACTGAAGTTGCCCTCCAGAAAGGCTAAACGAGTTTCTGCTTCTACCAGCAGTGTATGAGAGTGGTATTTCCCTTGCCAGTACCGGACACACTGCAGCTCTTCCCCTGAATTTGCTTTATGTTAATTGCTTCTTCTGGATGGTCTCTTGCAGAACAAGCCAAATATTGACAGATCTCTTTTGATTAAACTCTAGGGTAACTTTTCGCCTATTATTTCTGACCTCTGTACTGGGCCTGTTCTCTGAGACACATAGACTTTTTTTTTTAAGAATCTAATTGTCTAAATCTGTGTGTCTTCTGGAATGTCCTCATGCCTGTCTGCATCTCCCTTTTGCAGTTGTTAATATGCCTGGAATGGTTTAGGCATAACCCTGCTCACAGCCAGAATGCTTCTTTCAATTACCTATTGGCACAAGAAGCAGCAAGTCAAAGAATTACATAACACTTTGTTTTAACACATTGTTTATGCTCTGTTTTAACACTTTCTTTGTTTTATAGCTATTATTATTCTTCCCGTTGGTAATCTTTTTAGAATGTGTGAGTCCAGGTATCTTGAGTGGAAGCACTAAAGGGTGGGATCATTATCAGTTCATCTGGAGGCCTCTTGATTATAAGGCAGTGTTGTCTAGTGCCTAGAGTGAAAGGGCCTGCCCTAATGAGAAAGAGCACAGGCAGCTTCAAGCCTTACTGACTTTTGGATCACAAACAGGAATAAACAACGAAGAAAAACAAACAATTCTAAAATTAAATGGGAAGAAATAAACGTTGCTGCATACAAGTTCAGTTGCCTTAATAGTTCTTAGAGGAAAAACAAAGGAGATGGGCAAATGTAAGAAGCGTTCTTTCTATTCCTTAAGACCTTCCTTGATTCTTCACCTGTGTGAGTAATGGAAGGGCAAATATGTGGAAGGCTAAGAGGTCTCTTCCAGCCCTGAGGGTCTAGGATCCTTGGATAATTTGGAGTGTTTGCCTCCGTGGCTACAGAAAGTGGCAGTTGGGCAGTTTAGCTTCCAGATCTTGACTCTGTCAACTGATGAAGGAAAGAACCTGACAGTGACAGAAGGGATCCATCTAAGAAATTCAGGGCTCTAATGCTGAAAGGGAGTTTGGAGGTTGTTTAATAATGGCATATGTTTTTAGTGGGTTTTGGGATCTGAAAAAAACTGACCTTGAAATTCAACCACTTCCTCAGTTACTTTGTTTGCAAAATAAAGAAAAGAGCTATTTTGTAGGATTTTTATGAGGAATAGAAACAAATATAAAGCCCTCCTTGTAGTGACTTGCATGTGGAAGGTACTTAGTGCATGTGGCTATCATACGGCTCATTTTCATGAGGAAATGGGCTCCGGGAAGTGAGATGGACAGCCCAAAGTCACAGAACTTCTGAGTAGCAGAGCCAGGCCCTGAATTTAGACTTTTAGACTTTTGGCCCAGTTTCCTTTTTAACACCCCACAATGCAGTCTTTGTTCATTCTTTATTAAACGAAAAAGCATGCTGCTCCCCCCTTCTTTGTCCTTCTTCATTTGTAGAGAGATAATCGGGACAGGGACTCTACAGAGGTACAGGATAGGAGGACATATTCTGTTGGAGAAACTTAACTGACCTGCTTATCAAAATGTCTTACCAAGCTGATGGAAAACCGGTTGATCCTGGATCCAGCTCTGGCTGTAAGCAGTGAGAAATGTACTTTGAGCTCCTCCACTCCCTCCCCCCTTATTTCCTACTGTGCCCTCAGGCTCTGGTTGGCCAAGACTTGTGAGTGGACGAGGCTGATTTGAGCCAGGATCCTATTGGCCAGCTCTGTTTCCTCCTAACTGGGAGCTGCTGAGAGGAAAATGGCTGGTTGGCCTTTGGGATGTTTTTGTAATCTGCAGAGGGAAGAAGGGAGGAGGAGGTGAAACTGGAAGGTCCAAGGCCGAGAGTCTGATGTCAGCAAAAAAATGCAAGTGTGTGGGAATCCTTAGCTCTCCTGTTGCTGAATTCTGTGCAGAGATTGCCCTGGATGGATAGAGTTGGCAGCACTTAACCCACTCTCCTTCCTGAGTCTCCATCAAGGACTGCTGTATCCTGTGCTGACCAGGATGGCTGCCAGATCCCTCTTCACCGTGACACCCTGTGCCCTGGACCTTTACCTGCCTTTCTCAATAGTATTTTATATTTTCCTACTCCCATTCCCAGAAGGCTTTATTTCTGTTAGGAGACAGTAAATAAATAAAACCAGCTGATCTTTGCTAACTAGTTTGATTTCTCATTGTATCCTTCTCAGGTGACATAATGCCTGAACATAGGTAAGAGAAGCATGTCTATGTGCAGAAGGCTCTACGTGACTCCGGGCATGAGCAGTTTGGGCAGCGTGGTACCTATAACAGGTAGCATTTGCTAGGCACACACTGACTCTCTCTGACCTCTGCTTTTTCTAGTAGGCACTGTGCTAGGTGCTGGCATAATACACAAACTCTGGCTTATGGAAGAATTCAGTTTGGAAGGGAGTCGGGCGTATTCGAATAGTCATTATGATATTGGGTGTGCTCTGGAGCAGACCATTTGTGTAGGGTCCTATGTAAGGTCAGCTGGGCAGATCCATTAGACATGTTGGGGAGATTGCAGAGCCTCAGTCCAGACCTGCATGGTAGCAGTGGGGGGGGCCTGCCCTTTAGTTGTCTGTAGAATCAGAATCATGTGGAAAGCGGATACTGTGGTAGAAGCAGAACTCTTCAGGGGAGTTTATGTTGGAACAAGCATAACCTGTGTCTAAGAGGAATTTTTTTTGGTGGAGCAGAAGCCTTGATAGCATTGTTGAGTCACATCCAGGGGTGGGGACGATCTTCACATGCTTTCACCCAGTTCTGGTGTGGCATAGTGGCAAGAACTCTGGGGAATAATATGACGTAGGTTGAAGTCTTCAGTTTTCTTACCTAGAGCTAGAACAATTATAACTTTACTGAGCACCTACCATGTGCAAGGAGGGCATGGGAATCAGGCGTATAGACTCCTTTCCTGATCCCAAAAGCCCATAGTCAAGATTTGGGGCAAAGGCTGCATGGCCTAAAGAGGAGGAAGGATAAGCAATTCAGTAATTACTATTAAAACAACTTAATGGCAGGAACCAAGTTACCTGTAATTACTTTTTTAAAATAGGTATTCTATAGCTCTTTGCTTGGAGCTAGATACTTAGCAAAGCCCTTGGTAAATAGTAGTTGACTAAGATTTGTCCTTGAAAGGAAATCCGCTTCCGAGGGTCTTGGTGAAGTGCGTTGCATCATTTGAGAACAGAAACTCCCTCAGCTCTTATATGTGTCTGTAGTGCTTTAGGATCCTTGGAGGGAAATGGTGAACTAAATGCAGATGCCATCATTAGTCCGGCCATGCCATTGGGAAACCTTTGTCCCATCATGAGATGTGACATGCCTATGACTTCAGTCTAGGCCACTTTGGGGTAGAGGTGAGTATCTTGAACCATGAGTCAGAAGGCCTGGCTTCCAGTCCCACTTCTGCCGTTGCCAGCTGGGTGAATCTGGGGGAGTTGGCCTTGCAGTTGCTGCGTAAAGGGAATTACATCTACCCTACATTAATATAGTAGTACCCCTTTATCCACAGTTTCATTTTCTGAGGTTTCAGTTACACGCAGTCACCT